GGCCCAGTAACTTAAGGAGTGTGACAATCAGCCAGCGCTGCAGATATATAAAAAATATATCTGCGGTGCTCGCTGATTGTAACACTCCTGCAGTTACTGTTTGTGAATCACCCCCCTCTGCGGCATTCACAAAGTCCGATAGAAGTGACATTTCAGACCGATCAGTTGTTCTAGGCAGATATGATCGGTTCTCTTGCACTTGCGCAGTATGCCGATCTGCCCTGGAATAGCCGACAAAGCGTTGGAATGCTTGACCCAATAGGCAGTCACACATTCCATCACTGTCAAACTGAGCGGGATTATGTTGTAATGTGTGACCACGTCACCGGTCACACATTCCAACGTAGTCACAAACTTTGATAAAACACCCACTCTGTCACTTGCAAATGTGTCCCCTGAGTAGTATCCAGTAGTGTGGGAGGAGCAGGACACTGAGGCTCTGTCTCTCTCCAAAGCACAGGGATCAGAGCCTATCATGAATGCCTAGACCAGCCGGCCAGCCCATCTGCATCATCAGTTGCTAGGCAGACAGGGGGCTGATTAAAAAAAAGGTCCTGATCTTCTGATCTCTGCTGCCTGTCTGCAAGGGGATCAGAGTCTGTTATTGAGCCTGTGATCCCCGTGCTCTCCCAACTCATCCTCTTGGTTTACTTAATCTCTCCCCCCTGCTGTTACTTGCAGACAGGCAGCAGATCGGGAGATCAGGACTTTTGTCTGCTCTGCCTAGCAACTGATGACATGATGGGCGGGCCGGTGTACGTAATTATGACAGCTCGCCCATCAGCATCATCAGGGCAGACAAAGGGACTAGGCAGAGCAGACAAAGGTCCCCTTTGCCGATCTCTGCTGTCTGTCTTATATCTGGAGAGATAAGGGAAACCAGGAGGGTGAGGGGGAGAAGAGACGGGACACTGACATCCTGCATCTCCAGGTAGGGAGCGAGCAGTGCAGGCTCAAGGGGCAGCTGCTTTGGGCCCCACAACAATGACTGAGCCTAGGGCAACTGCCCCTTTTGCCTGCGTTAAAGACGGGCCTGGCTACAGTGGTTGCTGTATTCATAAAAATGTCTCCTGCACTTAGCCAGCATCGCCTTCGCTCTTTGTAAGCACAAGGAACGCAAGGACTCTCTCAGTGATGTCAATTGGGCCAGTATTAACTGGTCCAAGCATCGTTTGTGGTGGACTTCGAGCAGGTGGATCTGTGTCAGCAGGGAGGATATCTGCTGGAGACGCTGGCGCTTGACTCGGGCACCAATCTTGATCAGAGTGCCCCTAATATACACATTATGTGCCTCCCAGATCGAGTACGGGGAGCACTCCGAGGGAGCATTCAGAGCAAAATAGGATCGCAGATCATCTTCTATTTCCCCCGCCAGGGTCGGGTCTTGCATTACGGTCTCGTTCAGACGCCAGCGCCATTGCCGCATCTCCGATGCACCCAGATCCACCCTGATCGAAACCGCTGCGTGGTCAGACAAGGAGATGTTGCCTATGGTAGAGTGGGAAACTAATGGCAATACGGAGTGGTGCACAAGAAAGTAGTCAATGCGCGTATACGTTTGTTGGGCCGAAGAAAAGTAGGAATAGTCCCTATCTGATGGATGGTGAATCCTCCACACGTCGGACAACTGATGTAGGTGGAGGTTTTTCTTGAGGCGCTTTAGCGCCGCTCTAGATAAGTGGGAGGTCGATCTGGAGGAGTCCATCTGTGGATTCAGGAGAAGATTGAAATCTCCGCCGACTATCAAAACCCCCTCCTGGAAGTCATCCAATGTTTTCAGTACCCTTTCCAGGAATTAGATCTGGCTTAAGTTAGGGAGGTATACATTCACCAGTGTAACCATCTGATTCTCAATTTTCCCCTTAAGCATGAGCAAGCGGCCCTCCTCCCCGGCCTGCATGTCCACAAGCGTCCATGGAAGGTTTCTCGATAAGACAATAGACACCCCCCTCGACCTCTTATCTGGAGAGTAGCTATGATAAGACGTCGGAAAAAACGGTGATCTGACAGTTTGGGTGAATGCCCTTGCTGAAAGTGCGTTTCCTGTAGGAAACCAACGTGAGCTCGCTGTCTATGGAGTTCATGTAGTACCGCGGTTCGTTTTTCAGGGATATTCATACCCCTTACGTTGAGGGACAGAAAGCTATACGCAGGCATGTTTGGATCCTGGTTCAGGGGTCAGATCTGATTTGGTGAGGGGAACGGGAGAGGAACAGGGGGAGAGGGGTGGGGCTGCACCAGAGGAAGGGGGGATGGAGTCAGGGCCATCTTTATTATGAATTGGACCCTGGGCAATTAATGCCCAGGGTTTCTTGGGCCCCCTCCACCCGCCCCCTTCACCCTGTGAAACATCATATGGTCACAATATGCACTGTACAGCAGGGCCAGTGCAAGGATTTTGACAATTGACAAAAAAACATCTTTACTTGTCGCACTCCTTAACCCCTTGTAATGGGGTGGGTGCTCGCAGTGAATGCGGATGGCGCCACAAACATCAGCAATATATAGAAATGTCACCAGCACACCAAAACATCCTTTTAGAATAGCCAAATGTTTATTTATTTACAGTTCCTTGTCAGAAAAACAAGCGCTTTCGGGACCATGCAGGGTCCTTTCATCAGGCGCTTGTTTTTCTGACAAGGAAAGGCAAATAAATTATCATTTTGCTATCCTAAAAGGATTTGATGTGCTGGTGACATTTCTATATAGTGCATTTTCAGCCCCCCACTATATGTTACATTTTCACATTCATATAGCACACCCAATTCACATTTACAAAGTATTTCTTACTTTTCTATTTGTTTTTTTAGCAGATTACACACAGGACTCTACAGGCAGCTTCCATCACATCAAGGGGCTTGTTTAACCTAATCCAGTGTGTTCCAGCACGGTTGGTAGCTGGAATGCACTGTATCGCATTATAAAATGTTCCCTGTGTTCTGGGGCAGGAGGGGGCCTGGAGATACATTCAAGTCAATGGCACCACAGCCACGTCTCCTGCCTTGCAGTGCATTTAACTGCACCAGAACACAAAAATGACTGCACCAGTCGCAAAAAATAGGTCATGCATGCACGCGGGAGAATTTTATTATGCGATCTAGTGCATTCCAGCTACTAACCGTGCAAAGTGAGAGACAGTAATATGCAATGCACCAGCCAAACCTGAGATCACTAACCCTTTGTTAGTACAGACAGTCCTGTACATCTGATCATGAGCCAGTACACACAGGATTAATTATAGTGACCATTACTTCCAGCCCCATCCTTAACATTACATTCAATTGTCGAAATATAAGAATATCCAGCAAGTAAAAAGGTGAACAGCAATGTTTGTTTAAACGGTTATGTTGTGTTGGGAAAATTTAACACATATAAAATAGGATTCTATTCCAATCTGGCTGAAAAAAATTTCTTTAGTATGAATATTCACAGACTAGAGCTGGAAGAAAGTGATGACAGGGGGGGACGTGGAACGCAGCTCCCTGCTGGGACTGTCACCCTCTGTCTGCAGCAGGAAAAGCTTCCCTCAGTCCATGCAGGGACCGTCACTCTCTCTCAGGAACACTCAATCTTCTGATTATAATATTACCTCCTATCTGGCTCCGGGCAAAAGCTGAGGCTCTTATCATCAGCACTAACTTCCTGTCAGAGACATACGGGGAAAACACAGCCCAAGACGTCTGAAGAGCTGAGTGCATCGTTCCTGTGACAGTGCCCCATCCACCTGCTACACTGTCACAGCTTATGCACACTTTGCTTTGAGCTCTGCTCCTGTGCCCCCACACCTCCTGAGTTACAGTCAGAGCTGGGTTTGCAGTCTGACACTACAAGTGGTCAAGGGGCAGCTGCTTTGGGCCCCAAGGCAATCACTGGGCCCGGGGCAAATGCCCTTTTTGCCCTGCCTTAAAGACGGCCCTGCGTGGTTTATATGATACAGTGTTTAGCATGTGACAAAGGCATTGGGGAAACTGGCCTTAAGCTGCATCTCAGGATGAACCTACACAGGAGCTCGATCAAGAACCACAAAGAAAATGAATATTGCACCCCAGTAGGACATCACTTCTCCCAGAAAGATCACTCCATCCAAAACCGCAATATAAAAGTACTGAAAGGAAATTTTAAAAACTCTCATGAAAGAAAAACTTTCGAAATAAAAATGATTTTACATTTCAATTCCATAAAGGAGGGACTTAATGTGGATTCTGGTTTTCTTACACACTACCAGAACCTTTTATGAATATACAGAACATAATAATATTCATGTATGTTGTATATCCCTGATCTGTGCAGGATTTATTGGTCATCCTATGTTTATTTGTTCTGTGTTCTAGTTATCAGGATACATTCTTTACTCCCAGGTCCAACATTTATGACACCCCACTCACCCCCCCCTCCCTAACAACTTTCTCTTGCTTTAAGTGGTTAACGTTGTCATGTTGATTAGGATTGCTTCTGACCTGAAGAAGAGAGGTTAACTCTCGAAAGCTTGTCTTTTATATATTTTGTTAGTCCAATAAGAAAGGTATCATCGCATACTACAATACTCCGTTTTTGTTTTTTTGATACATCTTTTCTACTGGACTAATATGGCTTACCCATTTACATTACACT